CATGGCCAGACAAAAGGCCATTATGGAAATTTTGCAGCTTTTGGCAGCTCAGATGGCCAAGCTATAATATCTATACCAAGTAGTGAACACTTGAGTTCTGGGCTGAACTGAACCTCCAAGCACCCATCAAGTGTCAGCCCTGGAAAGGTTGCTGCTGACGTGACAAAGTCCACTCCTTTCATTTTCTCCCTCTACGTCAGCACTTGTGAACTCGTGAACTCCCGCAACAGAAAAAGCACAGGCCACACCAGACTTCTTCAGTAAACACAACCCATTTCTACAAAACACATTAAGCAACTCTTGACAGGCCAGCAGACGTGGCAAACAGGAGAGAGCATTTAAGGACAAGTCAGAACACATGTACCAACATCAGCACTGCTCCCCAGTTCCTAATAAAAGACACATCAACCCACCACAAAACCAGGCATATAAGTTCACTGTGTATGAGTAGCACTTCTTTCAGAGGAATCTCAATTGCCTGTAGAACTGACAGCAGCATCAACAGGTTGAAAAATCTCTGTTTGGTTTTTACATAGTAGCTTGGTTGACTGAAAACCCAGCAAGGAAACAGAATAGTCCAAAAATCACGATGGCTTTTACTTTTAAACTGGGATAATCTTGCGATCAGTCCTCTTGATCTGAGTGGCAATTTCAGTAGCAGTGTCGTGGCCCAGGCTCACTGATTTGCTTGAAGCCACTGAGTCTCCAGCAAAATGGTCTGTTCCATTTTCCCCAAGCTCTCAGAACTTATGCCAAATGGACTATTTTTGAAGAAAGCCTACAAAACCCCCACAACTGATCAGAAAGAACCTACAGCCTGGCTACACAAAGGGAAAAGTGATTAATACTTTAATGCTGCTTCTTTCAGAAACCACCATCCTGCAAAGGCTGTAACCCCCTGTGAAAGACAGGACATGTTGCAGACCAGTGTATCTTGGCTGTACCTGTGCTGCTGCCCGAAAGAGGAGCTGTCCCCATCTCAGCCACACAAATATTCACGTGGCTGCCCAGAACGCTGGGCCAATTCCCTGAGCTGACTTCTCATGTGGCCACCTATGTACCAGCACTAAGGATTGACCAGGAATAATAAGCCCAGTCAGGGGCAGGCTGGGATTCTCACTGCATCAGAGAGGTCAGGGAAGTCCGTGGAAAATAACTACAGGTAAGCCTGGGCTCAAACTTGAATCAAACTACAGGAAGAGAAGCAGCTGTTTTGGACAGGCAACTCAAGGTTGAACACCTCTATCCTCCCAAACTGGCTTTAATTAATTTTGGCTGTTTTGTTTTTTTTTTTAAAAAGCTAGCCAACTTTTAGATAATTGCAGGTCTCTTCAAGCCCATGGAAAACTCTGTGTTCCTTTACCACCCCATCTCTCCAGCATCATCCTTCCTCTCCTACTGTCATCCCTCTTATTTTCTCTGTTCCTGTGGCACTCCCATTTTCCTCCACTGGCTGACCCTGTCTACACATCCATTTTCCTAAGGACACAGCTTTTTAATTACTTTTTATTACAAAGAAAAAGCCATTAAGGCAGAAGCTACAGGGCAAACAAGGAGACCCATCTCCCCACGATCACCAGCCCTAAGGAAGGGCCATGGACGCAGATGGGGCTGAGCTTTGCCAGTGCTTCACACAGGAGCCTCCCGAGCATGGTTCCACAGCTGAGCTCTCAAATGCTGCCTCCAAACTTAGTAGAATTACTCCAGGGCTGCACTGCCAAACCCAGTTCTGGCTGATCACAGAGCATGGGCAGAGGCCAGAACCCTGCCTCAATCAACTTGTAGAGCACATCTGTCGTCTGCTCTCTAACACTTTTTTAGGTTGCTTATTTTCCAGGCAAATATTATGTTTCCACTGTCCCTGGTACTCTCTGGTTCAGTGCCATAAATGAAAAGTTACACTGTGAGCGATCTATTTTCTTTGGAAACAACCTTTATTAGCTTCTTTTGAAATATCAATCCAAATAATTTAAGGCTTTCCCACACACACACCTGAGTGCTGCCTGCCAAGTAAGAACTGCTGGCAACTTCTGTTAATCCAGAGAAAGTAGTAAGATGTTCCTGCTGAACTCTGCAACTGAGTGATGCAGATTAGAAAAACAATAAACAATTTATTTTAAAAAATTTAAAAATTATTTTCCAGTATGGGGTAAAAAAAGATAAAAGCACACAGAAAACTGAATTGGATCAGTGAACCTTTCACAGTCTATCACCACTTACTGAACTCATTATGACAACAAGCTAAAGGTCCGAATGCTTGTTGCAAGAGTAGAACCCTCATTTCCACACAAATCGTAAAACCATTCATTTATACATAACTTAGAGATTTAGCACTATTCCTACAGGACTACTTGTTTTCTTGCCTAGGGATGCCTGTTGTCAGAAAGCCCTGTTTTCATGGCTAATGGGTACTATCTTCCATTACCATGGAACCTCTTTAGGCTAATAAGACCTATTATGAGTGACTCAGACACTGGGAATACCCCCATAACCACTTCCATCTCCCGAGGCACTGAAGGCAGGATATCTTAGTCTCAGCCCAGTTCACGGGGCAGATGTCAGAAAACACAGCCTGTCCCATCAGTCTGTTCCTTTCCTAAGGAAGCTGCCACATTCCCAGAGGAAATGTTTTGGAATCATTAAGGGAAATCCTCACCCCTAACAGAAACCTTACAAGTTTGATGGGAAGACTCACCATCCGTCCCGCCCAAGCCCCAGGATGCAATCTTCTGTTCATATAACCTAAAGCCACTCCTGCTCTCCTCACTTACATTGTGTCACAACACTGTCTCAGTGTCTCACAAGAAAACAAACAAGTAAAGGAGCTTCCTTTCCCAAGATACATTTGACAGAACTTGCTTGTTCCCAAGAACATCTGACACAGGCAGACTGTTTTTAAAACGCTCCTCCTGCCTCTTCTGCCACACTGACCAAACTCAATGGCTTAGAAAGCTGCAGTTGCATCAAAAGAGAGAGTTCAAGTGAGAAGGTATATTGGTTTGATGTTGTTATAAGGAGAAAGGAACCAAGACGTTCAGAGCATTAACTGGTTATGCTGTGATACTTGGTTATTTCAATCCCAAGAGCACAGAGTAAGGAACCATTGTACAGTATGCATCCCACAGTTACTTCCAACTGGTTTCAGCTGTGACCCATCTCTAAAACAAGCAAAAAAGGGGAGGGTTCATGGGCCTAATCTGCCCTCCTCAGCACAGCTGGAATCCACACTGATATCAGAGGGTGCTGGAGACAGCAAGGAGGCAGGATGTGGCCTCTCAGCATACCTTGGTACTGAGCTTCAGCTACATATTCCACACATGCACCATGAATGATTTGCCCAGTGCTGTCATTTCTACATGTGTCACTTCCACTAAGCCTCAGAACACTCTTAGGACTGCTAAGTGGTCATGCAGTTCTTACGTGCACCCCATTCCACAGAGCAATAAAGTCCACTTGCCCTGAGCCACACTAAATGGTGCTTGTGCAACACACTGCAGGAACTGCCTCACAGCTCCCAAAATTTCTTCATACCTGCACCACAGGGCTTGTGAAATCTGAGTAAACAAATGCCTTCAAGCCTGTCTCACTATCAGAGGAACTTCTCCATCCTCCTCTCCCACAACAGCAGAAAAGGCTTGCTCAGGGCATTCCTCATAGTGGTGGTCATTGCACCCATACACAAAAAATAAAGCAAAATCTCAAACCAGAGACACTATTGCTCTAATGCAACGTGGATTGTGGAATGTGACGTGGGTCATGGTTTAAAGCAGAGGTTAACAGCAGAAGATTTTCATCATTATTAACATAAGACACGTGTGAATTCCTGGTCTGCGCAGCAAAACCAAAGCAAGGCTTGGTATTTACTGTTTGCAGATTTCATTACAGTTCTAGATATCCCACACCTGGTGGTGAAGACAACTGCACAGGCGAGTAGTCAACATCAACAGAGCTAATTAGCTGGTAGATCCCACTGCTTACCTTTTTAGCATGCAAAATTGTGGAATTCCCACTGAAAAAACTCATCTGTCGGATTCCAAGCTCGCTTCTTGGAAGCAGGCCAAAGAAAACCACCCAGTGTCAGAGTAAGAAGGAACCAAATTTTACTTTTACACTACTTAAGATTTTAAAGCAACCAGAAACGTCATCAGTGATCTTTCACTTGCTCAGGTGTCTTGACAAATCCTCTCCACACACTATATTTGCTAACCAGAATATATTTCCCTCCCCCATATTAAATATAATTAATATATTTAATATACAACTTTCATTCCAAACAGCATGAATATATGGCAAGAAGTGTCACTGGGCTAGAGCATTTTGATTTCACATTTCTTGCCATGTATTCAAGCTGACTGGCCTGATGGCTGTAGTACTGAGCATGTGTCAGCTACCCCTTATAATCTCAGATACACCATTACTCCCAAGAATGGGGAGTAGTGGTTGACTTAAAATGATATTTCTGCAGGAATCATCCCTCTTTCAAGCGAGGAAACTGCTGCCTCCCAGGAGTCAAACTGAAGCAGTTCTCATCACACTGATGTCTTTAGCATAAGCAAACATTCAGTTATAATTTTAAAGTAATGGGCTACAGAGGCCACATCCTGAGTTCATGACTGGAAGATACATGATGAGCCCATAGGGAAGATGAGGAAAAGCTGAAAAACTTCTTACTGACTATGGTAAGATGATACATTATTTCCTGCTGATGTCTGAATGACTGCTCTGTGGATTAGTTCAAGTAACTCCTTCTGAGAAGACATTAAACGTGAAGACAGAGTGTTGTCAAGACATTAGCAGCTGAGAGTATCCTCTGAACTCCTCTCCTGGGTCTCATCAACCCACAGTTCACATTGTATCTGTGGAGCTGGAACAGACTGTACTTCTGCTAAATTGTGTTTTAAAACAGGCAGATGCACCAGTACTAGATTGCAGTTACCTACTCACACAACACACTGCCTGAACTGGCTAAAGAGAGCATGTGGAGAAGCAGAATGTGTTACCTGTGGGCAGAGAGGGAAAAGTATCCACAGAACAATAAAGTTCCTCGGTGTTTTCAGCACTGCGTGGAGGCACGAAGAGCTCTGCTGGGTCACAAACAGAGGGAAGGTCCAACACACTGCTCTCCTCTGAGTTAACACTTGGTGACTTCTGTGTTCCTTCCATGGTCCTACTGCAGACAAAAATGCAACTGAGCTGGATTTTTAGAGCACAAAAATCTAAGTAGAAGTCAACACAAATGATTTGGCATTGTTGTACCTCTTTATGAGCTGTGAGGAATCGTTTTAGCACAATCATATTTCATTTAAAAAAAGAAGCGCAAATTAAAAGATGTAAAGAAAGAACAACAGTGAATCCTATAGACAACAGCCCTCAGCCCTGAGTAGGATAACTAGGAGTCCACAATAAACCTGGCTTTCTTAGAGGCTTCCCAGAAGTACAGACACAGGCCCCAAAACTAGGAAGCCATGGAGTATACACCCTCCAGGGTATACTATGTGTGCAATTTAGAGAGAGATGTTCTACAGGGTCCCTTTCCACTGATGCTTCCAGAATTCTCAAGTTAAACCCGCCCTTCTTGCCTATGTTCGCTGGCAGAAAGAAAAAGCATCTTAAAACTTGGCAGTCTCAGTCTCACAGGGATGGCAAAGACCTCCTGGTGTGGAGACACTCGGGCAGCTATGTAGTATACCCTGTGCATGTCACTTTGGAAAGCTTTGGTTGAGGCATACCCACACCTCAACATCCTTCTCTCAAGTGTCCTCAACCCATCCACCACCACAGAAGGCAAGAACACGCAGCTGGGTGGAGAGCAGGACAAGGCTGGTGCCACTCAGCTCCACATCAAGGGCCACACTGGACGGGCAACTCTTTTGGAGAGGATGAAACTGAAGCATTCCAGTCCAGCAGCTCCAAGCACAGTCACACAAGTGTCTGGGGCATAAGAGGAGTGAAATGCAAAAAAACTTGGGAGGGCGGGAGCTCCTTCTATTTCAGTAAAGAGTGACCGGACAGAGGAACCAGATGCAGTGGTCAGGAAATGGCCTGTGACCCGTCAGGCTCACATATATCTTCCCTTCTATGAAATGAAAAGGACGAATTCTTGTCTCAGGGTTATTATCAGTAAGGAATGTTACAGGCACAGGAGGGCAAAGAAATCACCAGAAAGTATTAGTACTGAAAAATAAAGTCAATACCCCCATAAGAAGATTTAAAACAAACAAACAAACAAACAACACTATTCCTCAGGTGATTCTGTGCTGCATTAACTTTTAGCTAAGATGCACCTCTGACCTTTCAAAATGCTGACGACCTCACTAATGAAGAGAGAGTGGCAATGTTGGCTGTACTACCAGAGAAGAGCAGGTGTCTTGCCTTGGAAGGGCAAGGTCCATACACTCACAGGAAGTTTCCAGGGAAAAGGGAGTGGAAGGTTAAAAGCAAAACAAAGTACACAACCCTCTTCCCCAGACCAGTCACTGAAGAAGGAAGCTTCTCCTCCCTTGCTCTTCAAGTCCCAAAATATAAACAACCTGTGCATAAGGAACACCTAATAGGAGAAACTTTCCTCACATATTGTGTTCCTGATGTGTGCTACTTTATAAGTACAAGCATATCTTAAGAGATCTGCCTCTTTCAGTCATTGGTCTGGAAAAAACTCCCAAAACTCCAAAAACCCACACCAAACACCCAGTGAATTCTATCCCTCCAAGGGTAAGTGGCTAATTACAGCAACAGGAGCTGCCGCTGTGATACCAGACCGTCATTGATGGGGCTGCAGTGGTCCTGGCTGTCTCTGTCAGTTGCTTGTGCTGGTCCCCTTCCTTATGTTGCCATAACAGAACTAACAATATATGCAACCATGTTTTGATCAGGTTTATATAAAACAAATCAGCTGTATTAAAAAAAAAAAAAAAAGAAAGAAGAGTTTTGCCCTAGATCAGCTCCCTCTAGTTCTCCTAGGTCAAGTACACAGCAGTCCTACTCCCAAAAGTGATGGTGAGACCTGTTTGTGCAAATAGGCTCAGCCCTGGGCCTTCAGGCACATGAAAGAGAGGCACTATCATCTCTGTGCCATACCTGGTAAGAGCAAGCAGTCCCCTTGGGCAGAGTCCAGGAGCGAACAGTCTGTTACTGCTCCAGGATTCCCTCAATAGTTTGTCAATCCCATCTTGCTGGAATGAAACAAACAGGTCAGTTAGATGCTTCACATCAGATGATTTGGCTGACGGACAGTGTGACCTTTCAAAGTACACACGCCAGCCAGTGTCAACAGTCAGTCATCAGGTACGCCCCTGTTTGTTGGGTCTGGCACAGAGGAAAAGTTTTCCTAGGAATCAGAAACAGCACATCTAGTAAGGCCCTGGAATGCTTTTGACAGCAGTGGAGATCTCCTGGAAAAGGGTTGGTCTATCCTAGAAATAAAATCAAGCGTTTCTATACAAGAAGCTGCCAGATTGGGCTGTTTATTCAAAACCCATCAAGCAGAGAAGCAAATTAAAGCTGGCAACCTTCCCTCCCTCCTGTGGAGATCAGGTATTTCCCCAACAGATTTATCTCACAGTGCCTCGATATCAACAAATAGCCTATACTGTGTCAGACCTCAACCAGGAAACGCGTTTTAAGAGGGCCACATAACCCATCCTGTAGAGTAAACCACAGGCTCACAAAACCCAAATCCTGTTTCCCAGCCCCTCCCATTACCACCATTATTTTCAGTGAGCAACCAGGAGTAGTTTCAGGAGGAAACCTGATTTTCCTCTGGGCCACCCTCAAATGGTGGAAATGCTACCAGGCATTACCCAAAGGCGTGCCACCAGTCCTGCACAAGCTTTCCCAGCTGGCAGCACACCCGGAGGGTGCAGTGGACAAAGGCGGGGTGCGAGGCGGTGGCCTTACCCACTGCCCTGCTCAGCTGGTTTGGGCGGATGCAGGTGAGGGGGTTCTCTTCCTCCCGGTGTCCTTTCTCTCCCCTTCTCCTGCAGGCAGACACGGAATTATTTCAACAACCGCTCCCCTGGGGGTGGAGGACAACAAGGGGAACACAGGGCGAACCAGGCCCCCCTACCGCCGAAGCACTCCGCGGCCTCGGCACAGCCGCTGCGCCCAACCCCCTCACCAGTCCCCGGGCAGAAACGCAGCTGCAGCGCCCCCAAGGGCAGCCACACGTCTTGGAGGGGGATAAGGGGAAAGCCAAAAAGCAGGGCAGGGCCGTTCCGGGCAGGGCCGTGCTTCCACAGCCCGCCTCAGGCCCTCCGCTCCGCGGCGGGCCCAGCGAGGGCCCTCCCGCTCCGAGCCCGAAATGAAGCGGGCAGGAGCCTCTTAGCCGCGGGCAGGCGCGCCCGAACGGCCCCGGCAGGGCGCTGCGGGGCCATGGGGGCCGGCGAAGCCCTAGAGGACACGGAGCCGGGCCGGAACACGAACCCACTGGGCAGCGGCAGATGCGGCACCTCCCGGGCCCGCAGGAGCGTCTGCGCAGAGGGCGGGCCCGCCCCCGCCGCTGTGGGGTCGGAAGGGGGGCGGCTGGGTACCCAGGTGTTTCGAGTCAGGTTTTCCTCAAAACGCAGTTATCTGGACTTTATTACTCTGCATTCGAAGGGGAGGGGCTTTGACGAGGCAGTAGCGGCACCGTGCCGTGCCTGGCAGATGGGGTTTCCTTTCGGGCTGCTCAGCGCTTGGTCGTTCTTACATCGCCGCCGCACAAAGGCGCGGCCTGGGAAAGCCCTGAGCGGGGTTGGACGTGGGGCTGGGCTGGGGCTGCGGGGTGGAAATATCGTAGAAAAAAACCAACGCAATCCTCACTCGGGACACAAGCAGGTGGGTGGGCTGTGAGCCTTCCTCCGAGGGCTTACAGAGCTCACGAAGGAAATGTGAGGCCAGTGAACCGCTGTTGCACACCAAGGATGTTCTCCCACGTGGTGTTGAGGAGTTTAACAGGCAGCCGATTGGAAGCTTCGCAAGCCCTACTGAGAAGCAGGATACAAACCACACTGAGTTTGGGGCATCACGCCACTTCGTGTGTGTGCTGCCGCAGCCACGGCAGTGGCAGTCGTGGGGGAGTGACACAGACATCCCGACCCTCCTAACAGGGGTGCAGCGAGTGCTTGTGGGCCACACGCTGGATACTTTCCCAGCAAAGAGAATATTGCCGTGTCGCCTGACAGAGTGTGCATGTCACAGCCAGACATCCAGGACACCAGCGCTAGCAGAGGTCAAGGATCAGCCCTTCTATGGTCTGGGCAGGCAGCCCGGGAGGAAAGCTGCTGGCCGACCTGCCCCCTGAAAGAAGTGCTGCCAGGTGGGACGCTGTCTCTGCTTTTTGGCATGCATGCCGAGAGTGAGACTAGGAATGAGCTGGGAGTTTTTTCCAAGAGCCTTTGGACTGCAGAGTTACTGATAGCAAACTGACGTGTTTAGGAGGAAGTCAGATAAACTTGAAGTCCCACGGCTGCCAAGAGGGCTTCCTTTTTCTTCCAGGTGAGCTGGCTGGAGCCGGGAAAGGTTCATACAGAGAGCCTCTGAGTCTGTGATTAAAGCACAGCGGCTGTGACTCCGCTCCGCCCTTATGACCTCTATCGAGCCAGACCTGGGCATTTGGGGTCACTGCAGAAGTAGAGATGCAAACTTAGCCTACATCCTGAGCTGTAACCCAGACACTGCTCTACTGCTAGGCTACCTCTTGTCATTCGTGTTTGTCCCCAAGAACTTACCCGTCCCTCTAGGGGAGTTCTGTGACCTGGAAGGTAGTACCCCCAGCATTTTGTTTCCGTACAGGGAGTAGAACTGGAGCTGAGCTGTGGAATGCAAAACATCAGCAGATCTGCTTTATTTAGCTATGGGAGCACATGCAATATTACAGCATCCAGAAACCAGCCACCTGTGTGACTTCACCCCACTGAATCATGCCAAGTCTCTGTCATTAGAAAAGCTTTGTGTGGGCAACACCACTGGGTCCTGGAAAAGCAAGGAGCTCCAGCAAGCAGAACTGAAAAGGAAGCTGCAGCGCTTAGTAACAAACATATACAGTTTCTATTTGTCATATTAGGTGAACAACCAAATCTTTGTACTGACTTTACCTCCCTCACCAGAATGAAGAGGTCCTGCACCCTCCTGATAGAGCAATGCACTTCCCTGAACTCCCCCCATTGTAATCTGCATTCTTTAACTTTATTCCTTATAAACTGCATTATCAGCAAAAAGATTGTTTGCCTACAGTATTTAGGTCAAGTATCTACATGTGTACTATGGTCTTTTTTATCAGTGTGTTATTGTTAGGACATGTTAAAACTACACTGGGATTCATGTCTGAATTTGGTTAAGGAAAAGGTTATGTCAGAACTAGGAAATGCAGAATTAAACCCCACACTTGACATTTACCAGAGATCAAAATACTGAGTCACACATGGGGAAAAGGAAATACATTTTCTGACTGAAAGGAGACATGAACAAGATTGATTTTCTCACTGTTGAATTTACAAAGGTTGTTGATTAACAGAAATGATTAAATCAAAGTTTGTATACTTCAGTGTTTTGAGTTCACTCCTCACAGTGAACTGTCCTTTGTTCTCAAAACTGAAAGAACATCAGTATATTTAAATCTATTATTTGAATGCATTTTGCTTCTCCACTCTAGACACTGTTACTAAAACAGATGGAGGATTAGGCTGTGCTGAATTCCCATTCTGAAGTTCTCCCAAAGCACTGCAGACAGTGCTTTAGTGGCCTTTGCTCTGGAAAAGCCTCTTGAGGTTACCCCAGGAATGAGTGTTTACAGGCTTCAGGCAAGCCAGTGTGAGAAACAGCTCTTCAAACCCTTGAGATGAGAAACAGCAACTCTTCTCCACTCCTTCCAGACAATCGAGGTTTGCTGGCGACACTGCAAATAGCAAAACGCAGAGGAAGACTGGAAGAAAAGCTCTTTTCCATGACCCCACTGTCCCATAAAAAGCAGGGGCCCTGGCATTCTCAAGTGACTTTTTGCATGATCATCATTCCTTCACCTGTAGCTGTGTCCTTTGTGCGCACACCATAGTAACAGGATGGAAAGTGCATCTCAGCTGCAGAGGCAAAAAATACAAAAGCTGTATTAAAAAGAAACAACGGGGTTGGTTACCCAAAACCTCATTGATTTATCCAGCTGTGTTAGCTGATCAGATGAAGAGTATTATAGTCCCTCTCAATTTGCCAAAGTTAAGTTTTCAGGACCACATAAGAAGACATCGTGTGTTTCATGTTCTGTCACATCAAAAGCAATCCCATTCAAACCAGCAAACCTCCCTCTAAAGTGTCAGTTCCACTTAAACAAGAATACCCCTCCTTGTCATTACTACCTCCAAACAGCAATAACTGCAGGGCTAATGCCTTACAGAGTTTGGACTGAGCTATCACAGAGAACTTACTGCTGATTCAGGTTCCTGGTTAACACTAAGGTCAACATACAAGCTATCCTACTTGTCCTTCTCATGCACCAACCAAGTTGTTCCAACCCCATAAACTGTATTCTGGTCACTGCACTTCTCTTCAAGATAGGTGAAGTCTATGAGCAGCAAGCAGTCATCTGCATTAAAAAAAGTGGGTCAGCCAGGCCCCCAAAAACATTCTTGG